TAGTTCATATACCTAAACATAGGTCCGCAATCGCTTCGTTGCCGATTTTACAGGGTGTTGAAATTTCAAGATTTTTTTGTTTTTTCTTGGCTCTTCTTAGCTTTTTTGCACTTATTGAGATATTTAGCTCAGATTTTGAATCTAGATTGCGTTATAGGGCACACATTATTGGGTATATCAGATAGTTGTTGAATTATACAGGGTGATATTTTTTCAGGGGTCATGTACCCTTTTTTCCCTCCGAACTTTTTTGCTGTGCGCCGCTGGTAGATTCTAAAATACAAAATTAATTGTCTGTTTTGTTTAGAACCTTTTTTTATTTTTAAACTTTTTTCGTTTCTGCGACCGTTATCGAGGAAAAAAATAAAAATGAATTTCTCTACAAATATGATTACTTTACAAAACGAAAACCCTAAAGAATAATTATTAAATTACATTATAAATTACATTAGATTCTAAAATAGATTCTAGAATACAAAATTAATTGTCTGTTTTGTTTAGAACCTTTTTTTATTTTTAAACTTTTTTCGTTTCTGCGACCGTTATGGAGGAAAAAATTAAAAATGATTTTCTCTACAAATATGATTACTTTACAAAACGAAAACCCTAAAGAATAATTATTAAATTACATTAGGTTTGTTCCTACAAAAAGTCACTGATTTGTTACCAATAAGTTTCTGACTCTTCTATTTCGCATGCGCGGTTTATGATTGAATGGTGTAATCAAATTTCAGATTTCTTGATGGAACAGTCTTTACATTTATTACATATTCACCAAGTATCAAACAAAAACAACAAACAACATAACCTAATAATCAACCTATATTCAGAAATACAAATTAAACCCGAATTAAAAATGCGCTTGCGCCGGATTCTAAATCTCTGTACTATCAGCAAATTTTTCTGACTATCACAAAACCAGTCCCTTGAACTGTTGGAACAATAAATTGTTAACCAAGTCAGAATCAGAGATGTCTATGGAGTCTGTTGGAACGCCTAAATTATTACTGCGCAGACTCCTGACGACCACCGACTATTTCTGACTGTTGTAGGAACAAACCTAATATTATATTATAAACTGCAGAAGCTCTAAAAAAGAAACATAAAAAATCTTGAAACTTCAACACCCTGTAGATCGGTAACGAAGCGTTTGCGGACTCATGTTTATATGAACTTTTAGTCATAAAATAAGCCAAGCAATCACCCCATTTCGGATGTACACGATGTTTATCAACACCCTGTATATTTCCCCATATCAGCGTAAACGTGATTGTTGATCGATGGTATTTTGCCCGGGCGATAGATCGAAAACAATGCCCTCTCGAAGGCGATATGCAGGCAGGTCGACGACGGGCGATATAATCAGACCTCCGTCGGTGTCCCCACACCCCCGTATCGCGAACTGGTGGAGCGTGTAAATGTTTCTAACGACCAATAGTGCTATAGTCGCGTCTTGTCGCAACCAATCCGGTCAACGGCCCGCCGTGATAACGACCTGTTACCTGCCTCTTGGAATTCACGCCCATGGAAATCGACCTTTCGTCGAGAACGCAAATTTCGCCGGGGATTTGCTGTATTTTCATCTCGGGAAATTGATTGGAGATTCGCGTACGAATTTTACGCTTTTAGGTATCTTTAGAAATTTTTGTATCATTTTATATAACAAATTTTTGTATCTACTATAGTTAGAAAGGCCAGTTATAATAAACGTATAGTAAAGTGGAAATTAAATCTCCTAATGTTCATTTTATTTTAGATTGCTTATAGTTAATTAACTGCAAATTTAATAACAACCAAATTATCTAGGTATATAGAGTGTGTGTCACGACGAGGGCCCATTAGAAGTATCTGGAAAAGTAGTTGTAATTAAAATTTGATAATTTCTGTACAAGTATTAGTCGATGCGCTCTATTCAATGAAAATATTTTCAACTTCTCTTTACTTCCGGTTATACCGGAAGTGGACAGCAACTTTGTTATTTTAAATAGGATACCCCATATAGTAATATATTTTCGAAATGTACGCAAAATTTTAGTGCTTTTGTCTAAAAAACTTTTTTCAAAAATGCATACTTTTTGAGTTATAATTTTTTTTGAAAAATTTGACCGATGCAGACCCTTATAAATAATTTTTTTACGGGGATCCCTTTAAAGATATGGATACGGTTTCTGTAAGGTGGCCACTAGCAAGGTCAAAGGTATTTGAATATGTGTTAAAAAACTTTTTATTTTATACAGGGTGTATACAAAACATGTGAAAAGTTGAACTTCAAAAATACCAAATTATTTCATTTTTTTAAATGGAACCACTCATTTTTTTCTATTTTATTGAAATCAGTGGTAAAAAATTAGGGAAGTTCATGTTTACTTCCCTATACCTAAACCTAATAGTTTTAAAGATATTGAATATTTTACATAAATCTTACTTTTCTGTCTTATTCTTAAATAACTCTGTTTTACAAGTTGGCCATGTAAATTGTTTGTAATTAATTGATTATTAATTTTGGTACTTGTGAGATATTACATGGCCAACTTGTAAAAACGGATTATTTAAGAATAAGGCAGAAAAGTAAGATTTAAGTAAAATTTTTAATATGCGATGCGTCTAAAAACTGGATCAGTCATCTAAAAGCTTCTATTATAAATTGTAAATAACAATAATCGATTTGTTAATAGAACGTTTATATGTATGTGAAAGAGCGTGCGTCGGGAGTATACATGTATCACACAAGAAAGAAATTCGAAACGGGCGAAATGAATTTTATTGTAATAGGAAGCGGGGTATAGATAATGCTATTAGCATTCATTCGGTTTATGGCCCATGCATAAAAGTTTCCGCAGTCGGGGAAACGTTCGTAATGCCCATAATGCGCCTGCAGTTTCCCAATTCCAACATTAGCCGCTCGCTGGAAACGATTCATCGGTTTTATTATTTATTCACGAGCTTTTCCGATGCCAAATTCCGTCCCCGACGTATAACCGGGGCCCCCCCTTTTGCCGCCCCCCCCTGGCCGGCGGATGTGCGCTTTTGTGTTCGAAACGAATGAACACTTTGTAGTTCAAAGCGATGTTTTACATAAAAATTATATAGTTAATCCCGTATACACTACATGAATTTAAATGCGTTAAATAAAATTGCCAACAAATTGATTGTAGCAAAAATGTTATTGTTCTCTGTAATATACAGGGTGTTCCTAAACATCGTGTACATCCGAAATGGGGTGATTCCTTGGCTTATTTTATGACTAAAAGTTCATATAAACATAGGTCCGCAAACGCTTCGTTACCGATCTACAGGGTGTTGAAGTTTCAAGATTTTTTTTGTTTCTTTTTTAGAGCTCCTGCAGTTTATGAGATATTCTGCTCAAATTATGTATAGAATATAGGGTATAGAGTATAATTTGAGTAAGAGGGGGTCACTTTCAACATTTATTATTATGTAATTTAATAATAATTATTTAGGGTTTTTGTTTTGTAAAATAAATCGTTTGTATACAGAAAATCATTTTTAATTTTTTTCTCGATAACGGTCACAGAAACGAAAAAAATTAAAAAATAAAAGAGTTTCTAAACAAAACAGACAATTAATTTTGTATTTTAGAATCTACCAGCGGCGCTAAGCAAAAAAGTTCGGGGGAAAAAAGGGTACATGACCCCTGAAAAAATATCACCCTGTAGAATTCAACCACCATCTTACATACCCATTAATGTGTGCTCTATAAAGGAATCTAGATTCAAAATTTGGGCTAAATATCTCAAAAAGTACAGGAGTTACTAAGAAAAAACAAAAAAAATCTTGAAATTTCAACACCCGGTAGGTAGACCTATGTTTATATGAACTTTTAATTATAAAATAAGCCAAGGAATCACTCCCTTTCGGATCTACACGATGTTTAGGAACACCCTGTATAATAGGCATCAGAAAGAATGAGTTTTGAAGTAAATTCATGAAATAATTATTATATTAAGTAAGGGAGAAACAAAGATATAAATATATTTCGAATTAAAACCTCCTAATAGGTTGCACCCCCTAAATCTTGCAAATATTACTTATTTCTGGGAGAAATGTATAAATCACCCTCTTAGAGGTGCGAAATTCGGGCAGCGCACGGTAGAGGAGTGAATTATGAATATATAAAGTGTGTGTATCACGGAAGCGCTCTCAGAATTAAAGCTAAATATTTATGGGGTGCTGCAAATCGGCTGCTTTTATATTACTTATACAGTAAAAGTGAGCTATAAAAGCTCTCTAAAGCTCTTCCGGAAGCCGAGTTTTCGGTGTACTTTACACTGCTCGCTTCTCTGTAATAGAAGATAATGTTTATAAATATGCATGTGTAAATGTAAGGCTTTAAGTAGACCCAGAACGCAGTGACTTGAATACGTAAAAACTCTTCGAGATCATTGACGTATCTATAAGGAACTTGTATTAATTTTGTCCTAAAAATAATGTATCAAATGAATGCATGCCCAATAATATACCATCAAAAAAGTTTTGTATAGTATAATTTAGAGTATTTGTTGCAAAGTATCATAAAAATTAGTGTTTATTAGTAAACTCTTATGTTGTAAACTAGCAAAAACCTGTAAAGTTTTATTTGATTTTTTGTTGTAAAACTTTAACTTAACAATTAAAAGCTCTTTATTAAAAAAAGTTATTGAACCCTAATTTATGTAGAAAATAACATTGTTCTGCGCCACTGTAAATGTATCTCGTACTTTCGTTCCCCTGTTGAGCCTCTATTTTTTTTTCTCTTTCCGAAACGAGGTAGGAAAGGAGACGACGTGACAATCCTTGAAAGAAGTTAAGTAATTTCTCTTTGCTTTTCGCAAACTCGCCTCTTTTTGAGCCGCTCGATTATTACAAAACCGCGTTTTTGTATATATAAAATGTATAACAATAATTAGAGAATATCTAAGTAGAAAGCTATTTGAATATTCAACTTTCAATAAAACTTTTAATTGTTCGAGCATTTTTTAATAATCGACAAACACTTGACACGATTTATCAAGAATTTTGGTAACTCACAATAGATATAGCATTAGCAGATAAATCATCCGATTTAACTTTATCCTTCCCATCTCTAAAGTATCCGTAATAAACGTTTTTAAACGTATCGAAATCTTTGAAAGACGATATGATTTCATAGACATCGAATTCCACGTCGTTTTTCCTCGCGTGCAAATCCTCGTAGAATTTATTCATGTCGAAATTAGCCAAACGCTCCTTGATCTCGTCTTCGACGTATCCTCTGACGGTTTCGCTGTATTTCACGTGAATTTCCTTCTCGTTTTCCGGCGTGACTCGAACCCGATCGAAAAAGTCGTCGACGAAGCGCTTGAAGGCCTCGTTGACCATCAATTCCTCGATGTGACCGATAATTACGGCGAATTTTCTGTCGTTCGCGTCCGTCGATTCGTCGAAATCGTTTATATCTTCGCTGTGCAATAAATCACTCATGTTTTTTTTTGCAATTTTGATTCGAAACTGAGCGTTTGTCACAATTCAATTTGTCAACTGTGAATTATCGTATAGGGGTGATTTGATTGTAACTAATGTCTTGTTTTTTATTCTATTATATCAAGTTTTTATTTCGGTTTGAATTGTAATAAAAACCGTAAAGTCTCTTTGCGAATCTGGATTTTTTTATCTACTTTATATTTCGACAATCCAATTATCCCCTAAAACTCCACAGTGGGTTTTTTTTTGTGCATCTCAAAGGCCATATGGTGGGCGCTTCCAGCCAGCTTTTTGCGCTCAGATTCGTCGGTTGCATAATCGCATGCTAATTTAAAATTGATAGAAATCAGTGAATTTTATCAACAGATATATATTTAAATGCACCCCTTAATGGATACAAAATGTCAACATTATGTCGAAGTGTAAAATTACAAAAAGGGCAGGGCGCTTGAGTGGATGGATCTTTGGTATGCTGGCATATGTGTGTAGTGAATTTAAATGCCACTTTTCTATTAAATTATCATTGGGACTGATTGTAGTTTCAATTACAGAGATATTATTTGAATTCGTATAAGGGGTTGTAACGAATAATCAATTGAATATAACACACTAGAAAAATTTGATCAATGTTACCAGAAACTCCTTATAAAGGGTGTTTCAATAAGACCGCAAGATTTGAATTGCCTGTCATGTTTGACTGTCATTATGACACGTGATTATAACATGACAGATCGAAAGTTGACAGTTGGGAGTTAGTAAATATGGATCATTGAATCTGGATATGGATCTGGATATGGAACATAATCGCGCCCTAATTGTCAGGGCGCGAAAGCAGTGGGCCATTTACAAGATATTTTGTTTTATATATCGTTTGCTCCATTTCCGATTGCAACATGGTCATTTCTATGAGTGGAACAAAGAAAGATTAATAAAATAACAGTTGTCAGAGTGAAAAGTTGCAATGACATAAATGTCATTCTTTCCTTTTTCTTTGTAAGTGTCTAATGGAAGAATGGAAGTTGTCTTTATCGCACCCATGGCCTATATAACCTATGTATAATTCCCAAATGTACACATGATAAATTAATAAATATTTCCATATTTTGCTACAGATAACAATGTTTTATTGAACCTTAAAATCTAGTGCGCTCTTATTGAAACACCCTTTATTAACCACATAAATAAGTATACCGTAAAAAATGGTTTATACCTCATTAAATCGAATAAAAGTAATGTATTTACTAAAATATTTTCCAGTAGAATTTTCTTGAATGCTTCAACTTTATTCTCTCTCATAGCATCATGTTATACAATGTTGAGTCAATAAAATCCCGCCGGCAGTGACAGGATAGTAAAATATCTTTATTTCGACTTTATGTAGTGAACGCGGATCGCGGTGACAGAGAGCCAGAAAGAGAAGGGCGAATCCGAAACGATCGCCCCATTTAAGTAACTCTATTAGCATTCGATTGCGCCCCATTACTACACCAATGATCCACTTTTATTAGGTTTTTAGTCGAAAGGGATGTCTTCTTTGTTCGCTTCTAATTCTGATAAACATAATAAAGCAATTACTATTCATGTTTGTTCTCGTAAAATTTATTGGACTCACTGCCGACCGATTTGTTTTGCTGTACCGGGTATAATGCGACATGTCGCCTGACGCGGTTTCCGCGACTTTCTTCCCGTTGAAAAATTTAAATAAATTCATCGAAACGAATTGGCAAAAACTAAAATCGATGTTACGATAGTATACAGTCGATTTTAATGCTGTTATGAGGTGCTGATTTGCATCAAGTTTATTAGCTACTTATTTCTAAATACATTTATACGAAAATTAAAGAGTTCCTACCTATATTGTAGAATTAATTATTATGCGAGTGGTGTTATCGATGGCGAGGGATCTTGTCGTTTTAGGGCCAATAACGCATTATCTCACTTTGGTGTCGCATAAAAGCGGGGATTGAATGGATGTGTTTGGAAAAATCCTTCCGTTCGCGGTCTTTTTAAGCCGCTTATATATTTTTTATACCGAATTAGTTTCCTGCACGGCAAGTTCGTTGATTTTGGTAACGCAATACCAAGTCTCCAACAGCTACAAACTCACTACTCTCACTATATTTTCTTAAATTATTTATTAATTGCTTGTACTTTATTGTGTAATTAATTCTTATACGTGTTACGTTTTTTCTTTTTGATCCTAAAGTATTTTTTAAAGGATCTAAAAGAGCGCTACCTTAGATTATAGAGTCCACAGCGATTGGGTTGTCCTCACATTAGGCCGATAAAGCTATAGGGATATAAGAGGATAGAAGAGGATTTTATGAAGTGATGTGTGTGTGAAGAGCGCGGCATAAGGCGTAGATTTTTATCTTGAGATCTAAACGCTGTTATTACAGTCATTCTATTCTCGTATTTCACGGGCCATTTGTTATTTATAACTATATTTTTACATTGGTAGCGAATTGACAAACATTTGATGAACACAGTAAGAATTTTTACTACAAAAAAGACGATATTAGTAATGTCACTTCGAGTTTGAGATACATAATTGAAAATTATCCTGCAAAGTTGTAATATAATGATTGCTTGCGATAATTATATTTTTAAATACTATACGTTTTATGATTTGTAAAACATATCGCTTGTCAATCAATCTATAATAATACTGTACCGAAGATGGAGATCTCAGGACGATTTACGGCATTCTTCGAATTTAATTCCTGTGGCAGCAAAACTGCTGGGAACCAATTTGGCGTGGTCGGTTCAAGGTTTTGTCGAGTGTTCGTAATTAATCCTGCAAATGATACTATACGATTATAAAAGAAACTCTTAGCAGATTACGTTGTTCGATTTAATATTTTGAATCGACGTGCGGAATGCAGTCAAAATAATTAATACCTTTTACATGTTATCGAATTTTTTGGTGAAATTTTAATTGCGTCGCTTTATTGAGCTTTGAGCTAAAAAGATAATACCGTTAAGAATAAAAATATAAATCATAACACCCTGTTAGCTGCACAGTAGGTACCTAATATAGTTTTAGATTATACAAATTATTTATATCGTTATTTTTTCTTTTTTAATAAATTTTTGTGTGTAATAAAATAATATTAATGAAATGAAACTTTAAATCCCATAATAATTACCAACGTCATTATACAGTTTCAGCTTCTTTCTTCATTTTTGATCCAGTCCTCATTAATTTGTATCTATCATTTATTAATCGAGTGCCATTTCATCGGAGCGCATTAATTAGATTTATACAGAGTGTTTTAAACAGTGATTAGGCAAGAAGTGCAATTAAAGCTTCCTTTGAGCTTCCACTTTATCATACCATAAAAAGCTTTCGGGTTATGGTCGTAAAAAACGCACCACATTGAATTCGAATGAATCAATATTAAGACCGGTTTAACTAACATGCGGCGCGATTATTATTGACATTCGTCTCTAAATTGGCAGATTTACTAATTAGGCAGATAAACGAGCCGGAGTCGAATACTAACGAGGTCCTTTTAAAAAACTTCGCCAGATAATGAGACTTTTGTTTTCATTTTTTTGTGAAATCGTTTTATATGATAATTATGATATTTCTTCATTAAAAGTATTGGATAATATTATAAGAGAAAATTAAATGTATTAAAAGTGGAAAAAAAATGTTTTCTGTCTATGTAAGTTAGACTGCATGTAGGTAATTAGCGAGTTATTTTTTACCTATAATGAGGATTAAATAAACGCGTTTCTTGGAAAGTCATATGGAAAAAGTACATGTTTGAAAACATGTTTGTCTTGTATACGTGTAATATTATTTGACACTTATTTATTTGATGATGAAAAAAAAAGGAAGAAAGAACTCTCGCAGCATTCGTGACAAATTTTTTATCTTCCTGTCTACTAGAAAATACGATCCCTCAAGTATACACAACGCAGAACGTTCGACCCCTCTCAATCATTCCTTTCTCCACGCCTAATTACCATAACAACCCCTAAGCTAATACATATATATGTTTAAACTAATATTTTAGGGTGGAACGACCACATGCGCACACCCCTGCAATAAACAGTCGTTCAGTTTGTTATTTGCCGTTGAATTCGATTTAAAGGACCTTTCGTCGAGTGCGTGTTGATGTCGCATTATTTCGGTCGAATTATTCCGTAATGTTTATAAGTACTTATCGATTCATTATTATTATAAATCCACTAAAATTTAAACAACCAAAAATAACATAACGTAAGGTATACTGGGGCAAATCGGTTGTAAAATTTGAATAGTTCAAATTAAATCCTAAAATGTGGCTTTGTTTTTTCTCTTGTTAGAAATGCTGATACTACATTAAATTTACAACCTCCTAAACTACAGAATCGAGGTATTAAAAAGTTTTTTTTGAAAAAGGAAGAAAACGATTTTACATATTTTTTAAAATGTTAACAATACCCCGTACCATGGGGTAAATGTATAACAAACGGTTCTAAAGTGCAATACAATTATATAGAAAAATATATAGGGGAATTGTAAAAAAATATTTGGTTCCTCTAAAATTTGATATGCTGATGTTTATTTATTTATTTCAAAAAATAACAGAGCTACAAAATAATAAAGAAAAAATAAGAAACAAACCCTCTGTCTAATGCACAAAAGAATTATAAAAATAATAAAAAACATTAACATAATAGGTAAAAATCTTACATTTACCCCATTTTTACATTTGCCCCAGTCTATAAGTAGATAGATATTTTTTACCAACAGGTAATTTCAGTTTTTAATCGAATCGCTTGGGTAATTGTCGTTTTCAATCCGTCGAAGAAGATTGTCATTCCTACGTAATCTCTTCCAGAGATTAAATCCGATTTGTCAGGTATCCAGAAATTAATCTTTAATATCACGACCGATTACTGTAAACACACGCAAACGTACTTATCATTAACGTTACTTGAATATTAGCGAACATACTGCACCAGTGTCGGCGAAATATAATTTAATAAAATTCATTAATCTGTTTCTTGAGAAATCTGCGAAAA